GATGGAGTGTTTAGAGTTTATATATATTCTGTCATGTCATCTGCAAATAGTGAAAGTTTTACTTCTTCCTTACCAATCTGGATGTCTTTTCTTGTCTTGTGGCTAGAACTTCCAGTACTATGTTGAATAAAAGTGGTCAGAATGGACATCCTTGTCTTGTTCCTGACCTTAGAAGAAAAGTGCTCAGTTTTTCACCATTGAGATGTTAGCTATGGGTTTTCCACATAAGGCCTTTATTATGTGGAGGTATATTCCCTTGAGATTTCTTAAAAATTTTTATGTGAATGATCAGATTACCTATAAATAAAGAGTTCTGTTTCTTCTTTTTCAGTCTGAATACTTTTTCTTTTTTCTTTTATTTTTTTGCTTTATTGCATTAGCTAAGACTTCCAATACAGTGTTATTAGGAACAGAGAGGGGAAGGTAAATCTAGTCCCTGTAACTGTATTATGGCCAAAAACAGAAACCTCTCCTGATGCTTTAAAGTTTATATTGCACTTTTAGGTTTAAACCAGCTGGAATTTAGTATCCAATATGCAACAGGTGTCTAAAATGACCTATTACTATGTGGCTCGCTATTTGCCCCAGGATTGTTTACTCAGTTCTTTCCTCATCCACTTATCACACCACCTTTGTCATCTGTCAAGTTCTCATATGTACATGTTTTAACTTCCAAACTATCTGGTCTGTTCACCTTCATCTACCCTGAACCAATACCTCACTCAGTGATCCTATCCATTCTATTATTTTAAATAATTTTACATCCTGAAAATTCCCAAATTTATCTCCACCCAGACCTCTCTTCTAAACACAAACTTCTATACCCGACTGTCTCACTTGAATTGTAGAATAGATTTCAAATTTTTTATACCTTAAAAACCAAACTCCTAATTCTTAGCCATTGCTAGCCTACCCTTTCCTGCAGTCTCACCCTTCGTAGTAACTGGAAATTCCATTTTTTCAGGTCCTCGACTCAAACACTGTAGAGTCACCCTCAATTCTGATCTTTCTCCCACACCTCATGTATCTAAGCCATCAGAAAATCCTGACCACTCTGCCTTCAAATTATGTTTAAAAAAATCTAACCATTAACAACCATTTTTACTGCTATTATTCTGATCCAAGCCAATTTCCTCTCACCTGAATAGCCTAACTGATTCCCTCCTAGGATCTATTTTCACAACAATCAGCGATCACTTTTCAGGACCTACATCTGACCATATCACTGCTGCATCCTAAACCCTCCTATACCTTCCCATCTCACACAGAGTAAGAGCTACAATTCTTACAATAACCCACAAAGCCTTTCTTCATCCATGTCCCTCTGCCTCTTTAACCTCCTCCAACTGCCCTCCTCCTCTCACTCTACTCTGGACATACTGGTTGGCTTTTCATGACACACATCATATACACTCTCTGCCTCCTCTGCTTGGGACCATCCTCACTGCCCAGATACTGACACTGCTTGTTCCTTCACTTAAGAGTCGTAACTACCGGGGTGCCTGGGTGGCGCAGTCGGTTAAGCGTCCGACTTCAGCCAGGTCACGATCTCGCGGTCCGTGAGTTCGAGCCCCGCGTCGGGCTCTGGGCTGATGGCTCAGAGCCTGGAGCCTGTTTCCGATTCTGTGTCTCCCTCTCTCTCTGCCCCTGCCCCGTTCATGCTCTGTCTCTCTCTGTCCCAAAAATAAAATAAACGTTGAAAAAAAAAAAAAATTAAAAAAAAAAAAAAAAAAAAAAGAGTCGTAACTACCATTCTAACAGAGACTCTCCTGCCATCTTTCACAAAGCAGCAATGATCTATACACCCAACACACTCTCAATTCTCCTCCCTTGCCTCGCCCCCGCCCCCCAGCACCAATCTCATCTGACATATTTTTTTTTATTGGCCCTCTCCTATTAGAACGTAAGCTCCATGAAGGCAGGGATTTTTTTCTTCACTGCTCTAGATCCCTAGCCCCTGGAATAGTAACTAGCATATAAACACTTGGTTGAATAAATGTTTTACATCCCATAGGTTCATTAGTCTTTTTATCCAGCAGGACAACTCCCCCTGCTTCTCTTCCATTTTAAAATTCACTACACTGGACTTTTCTATATAAATGAGAGTTAGCTAGTCAAGACCTACGAAAACCCTTTGAAGGTTCTGGCTGGGATTGCTTTGAATTAACTTGGAGAGAACTGTTAGCTTTTTGATGTTGAGTTCCCCTTCCCCCAAACATGGCCGGTCTCTCCATTTTTAGGTCTTCTTTTAGGTCTTCAGTTGTGTTGGTAATTGCTGCCATAAAAAACCAAGCATCCTTTATCAAATATGTTTCCTTTTTTGCTGTTACCAAAGCATTGCTTTTTTGAAAAAATTACATTTTCTATCACAATTAAATCTTCAAGCTCCTTTTCTATTGCCTTAGTCCTCCTTAACTTTACAAACATGCTTAAATCTCTCTGCCTAAAACATCTTCCTCTTGGCCACAGAACGATTCCTTCTGTTCTTAAATACTGCAGAGAAGCAGTGCGGCCTCAGCTTCCTCATTTCCTACTCTAACCTTAACCATGCATCTAGCTGTTGCTCAACCACCAGCGGAAACCACCCTTTCAGAAAGGACCCCTGGGCACTGAGTCACTGAATTCCACAGCCTTGCCTCAGTGTTTATATCTTCTTCAGTCTAAGTTGCACATGACAATGAATACACCCCACCCCTTCACTCCACATTTTATGTCTTCCATTGGCTCCATGGAACTTGTATTTCCCTCACAGCTCCTGAGTGCTCCCCCTTCACTATTCCCCGGTTTCTCTTATTCCAGGAAGAACTTATATCTATCCTAGAGATACAGGGAAAGCCTCTCTGGCGAAAATAGTTTGACCTAACTCTTAGAGTGAGACTAGGGCTTACCACATGGACAAGTAGGAAAAGGACATTTCCAGCAGAGAAAAAAGCATACGCAGGTTGGGGACAGCATGGTTAACCAGAGACTCAACACTTTGTTATGTCTAGAGCTTTTATATCCAATACAATAGACACTAAACACATGTGGTTATTCAGTACTTGACATGTGGCTAGTTCAAACTGAGATATTAAGTGTAAAACACATGCCAGATTTCAAAGACTTAATATCAAAAAGGGGATGTAAAATCTCAGTATTTTCATTGATTACGTGTTAACATATTTTGAATAAATTGCTTTAAATAAAATACATTATTAAAATTAATTTCATCAGTTTCTACTTTTTAAATGTGGCTACTAGAAAACTTAAAATTATATACATTGCTCTCATTATCCATCTATTGGATAGTGCCGGTCTACAGCATATGGGCCAAAAGAAGGGAAGAGAGCAGAAAATTCGATCATTAATTTTCTTTTTCCTTTCTACTCCCACTGATGTCAATAAAAATTCAGGCCCTAATTAAAGCACCTCCTCTCTCCACTGCTCACCTATTTATCATGATCCCCTGAACTTCCAAATTAAGGGGTAAAATAGTCTGCCATATTAAGGTTTTCCACTATGCAAGCCTAATCTGCATTTATAGGATTATCTGGTACTGCCCCCCTTCATGTGTATGGATATGCCAAACTGAGGATGTCACCTAAAACTTAACTTGAATTTTTTTATCTTAATGCCTTTGCTCATAATCTCTCTGCTTAGAATGTCCTTTCCAAAATTTAATGATATTCTGTTTATATTTAAAAAGAAAAAAAATACAGTGGGACCTTTTGTTAGAGATACAAGTATTTAGAGGAATTAAAAATCCTAGTACGACTTCAGAGTCTATATTAAATATCTATCCCTTCACGAAGCCATCTCTAACTACTCAAATCTTCAACAAACACGCAACATGTAGAAGGTGTGTGCTACACATTACTCTAGGTCCTAGGAAAACTAGACAGGAGAATATCAGCCCCGCCTTTAGGAATTCAGTCTCATGAGATACAGCTATATAAATCAACAACTACCATGGAGGGTGATTTAGGAAACAATGGAGGTGAGCACAGGGTCCTGGTGGACTACTAACAAGTCCTAATCCAGGTTGATGGTAGGCAGGGGGAAGCATCCTAAATAGTGATTATGGCCCTAATGCGATGTTCCCCCTTTGAATACCCGAGACACCTTTTGTAGCTTCTCTTGGGGTTATCTGATCCCATCTCTGATACTGTTATGCATAGAGTCAACACTCATTACCTGTACATTTGATATTTGCAGATTTGCCTATTGCTAAAATTTATCTGTAACCTCAAAATCAATACTTATCGCAATTTCTCAGTCATTCACAGGCACATCAAAAGTGGTGAAAAATTTGAGTCTTCTCAGGCGCATATTCCCAGCTGAGTTAGAAAAAGGTGATGCTCTGCCTGTTTCAGCTCTCATAGGTAAACAAATGTCCACATCATAGTCTATCCAGGGCCGCATTTTCACATTTTGTTTGCTTTTTGTTGGTGACTTCACTATTGAAACTGGCTGCCAAACATAGTACTGAATTATTATATAGTGTTGTTCCTAAGTGCAAGAGGGCTGTGATATGCTTTATGGAGAATATATGTGTAGCAGACAAGCTCTATTGAGGCATGAATGACAGTGCTGTTGGCAGTAAGCTCTGTTAATGGATTAACAATATATATTAAAGGTGTTTTTAAATAGAAATAAACACATAAACAAGGGTATGTATTAATCAGTATAAAAATGTTGTGACCAGAACCTCTCAAGAACCCAACTCTTTTTCCCCCAGGAGTTAAATAACACGAATCAACTGTACTCTCTTTCCTCGAGGGAGTAACTCTATCTTAATCACAACTTCCTCCTAAGGAATAGGTATTATTATACAATTAACTCTTAACTAGGAAGGAAATTAGTAAGTTTTTTTCTTTTGTGTGAATGCCTGGACTTCAAAATTAAGTAGGGGCCATATAGTTTAACAAAGGCTGGATCCTAACACAAAACAATTTTATATGGCATTAACTTATTTTTATAGTTTCAAAATGACCAACAATGACTTTTACCAACATGCTTACCATTTTTGTTCTTCAAATTTGGGTCTGCTCCACTTTTTAGAAGCTTTAAGGCACATTGCTTATGAGCCCGGTAAGCTGCACAGTGCAAGGGTGTATTTCCTAACTGATCCGAACAATTAACATCAGGAGGATTGGGCCTGTTGAGCTAACAAATGAAAAATGCAGTGCAGAATTATATATCAAAGATGGATTTTCTCCCTTAAGACACAGGAAGGTGTAACTGATGTTCAGGTGAACATAGAACCAGGTGAACACCAGAGCTCTAGGATGCTAGACAGCCAGTGGCTTCTTGTTCCCTAAAACCAGCAAATCTATGTCACTTGCCATGCTCGTCCTCAAGGTGCCATGAAATCTTGGGTCCCACATTCCCCTGACAACAGACACCACACACTACACCAGTGCCACCCCACCCACTCCTGGACATTAAGATTTCACTAAGATTGGCTCACTTATACCCATTTTGTGATTCATATTTGTGACAGCAAAAATATACACCAGTCTACCACAGTCATTCAGAAGAGTTAAAACCATAAAGGTTAAATGTGTTAAAGTTCTACTGAATTTGTTGTTCCCAACTGACTATTTTAAAAACTTCTTTATACAGTCTCCATTTCACAAAGATTAAAAAATGTTTTAGGTACTTTACTTGGAAACCAAAGAAGTCTTTTCAAATGAAAAGGCTGAAGTAACTTTAAAGCAAATGGCAATGCTTCATTCTTCAATTTAGAACAAATTTAGTTCCATGTTTAATGAGACTACGTGGGAAATAGAAACTGGAAAGTAGGTCTCCAAAAGGAAAAAAAAAAATGGGTAAAGCTTTCAATCTGTTCTGACATGATATGAATATTCCCAAGTATTATCACATATTTGTACGTTACTTTCTAAAAGTGTAGCATACCCTTCAGAAATGATTGCTTATCAGAATTAGAGAAACTTGTTCCTTTATAGGATCTTACATATTATGTTTCAATTTAAATTGGCTTAATTTGAAAAAAAAAAAAACAATTGTCTTACATAATGTATTCACCTTGAAAAATCAGATTCTTAATTTATCAGATTTTCACAGTAGGGAGTGGGGACATAAATCACAAATTCATAGAAAATAATCCTTAAAATGTATCTTGCTTAAACTATTATATGCCAAGTGCTTTCAGATATTTAAGGACTTTTGTACTACTATTATAATCTCAAGTATTTTAGCCCCGCAATTTGACTACATTATGAAGTGTTAACGTAAAGTTACAATTTTCCTGAAGGGTAAAGAACTAAGACATGTTGTTTTACCAGAGCTAGGAGTTCTGCTGTTCTGCCTTCTCTCGCTGCTGCTAAAAGTTCTTCTTCAAGCTTTCTTTGTTGAGTCCTTTCTACAGCTGCAAAAGGAAAGTATATGTTACTCTACTTCTAGTCAGAATCCTATTAGCAACATCATTAACAGGATGTATGAATAAAGTGACTGTGGGGAAAAAGTCACAATATTTTGAATTATAATTCAAATATAGTTAAAGACTTATTGTTATTCTCACTGCCTTGAATTTCAGATAAGGGAGTTCAACTCCTTTTAGGTTCATATGAATTTATGTTTTCAATTCAGAAGTCTAAGTATCTTACTATAACACCCATCACAGATAATTATGAATTAGTTTTGCATGCTGAAATACTATTACACATCTGCCTTGATAAATTGGAGAGTAGCACTCACACCTTCTAGAACCTTAGAATCCGTTAAAAATAACAATAAGAAACAGCACTGGTAGAAGATGTACAAACCATGTAAGTAGATCTATACATACGTATATACTTCCACCTAATAGAAGACTTATTTTAACAAATTCTATAGCACCTAGTATATGCCAAGTACTATTCAAAGCACTTTAAAAATAACTTCCAGTTATAAAATAAATAAGTCCCAGAGATGGAAAAAATACAGCATACAGGATAAGGCCAGTATTTTAGTAATACTGCATGCTGACAGGTAACTACACTTACCACGGTGAACACTGCATAACATATAAAAATCAAATCACTTTGTAACATACCTGAAACTAACAAAACACGGTAGGTCATCTATACTTCAATATTAAATTTTGAAAAAAATATATTAGCTCATTAAATCCTCATAACTATGCTATGAAGTAGGGGTTACTATTATTCTGATTGTACAGATGAAGAGACTGAGGCATTAAGAAGTTAAGGAATTAAACTAAGGTCACACAGCTAGGAAATGGAGGAGCTGGGATCTGAACTTGTGCAGGCTGGTTCCAGAGACCATGCTCTTACCACTATTCTATCCTGCTTCTTAAATCACACTTGCACAGAAAGAGAACAGGCAATTTGATTTAAGAAACTGCAATATGCAATAAGGTCTCTTTTTGCTAGATTTGAATTCTGTTCTGGCTTAAAAAAAAACAATTTCACAGGAAGGCTCAGTAACCTCACTTAAAACATGTGCATAATATCCTTTGCAAAGGCTGCAAGGGAGAAACTATAAAAGGTTTCTCAGGTCTTCCTGGCTGAAGTAAGGTCATGGACTAAAAAGCAGGTTGGGGAGCCAAGTGACTGGGGAAACACTATGAATGCGATCGTGGATACAGCTATAGCTAGAACTAGTTTAGCTTTAAGAAAAGATGGACAGTCCTAACATACCATCACATTTCTATTTTCACACCCAGACTACCTCCCCACCTCAAAGGAAGGCACCCAAGCCTCTGCATAAGCTCTCAATGGCTTCTTCTTTTGCTGCGATTCACACTCTTCAGTGTTTCCTCTTACTGGTCCTGGGGCTACTGCACCATGAGCTCTGAGAACAGTCACATTCCTATCCCTCTTGTATGTACTTCTACTCCTGCATGTGTTACCCAGAGCTGTAAGTTATCGCTAGCAGCCAGGTACTGTTCTTACTCTTCTGTGTATCCTAGCCATTTATGACAGTGTCTGGCACGACGTGTATTTGGTCAATAAATATTTACTAAATAATCAAACAATGCTTAATCGTGTTGGTTCTAGACTTCATGGAAAAGAGGTAAAGGGTACCCTAATGTTTCTTTTTAGATTGCCTAGGTTCATAAATGAAGGAAAATGGGGTTTTGGAGTTGCAAACACTGCATACATTCCTGTCCTCTGTTCATTAAAGACACTGAAAGATTATTGATGCAGCCAACAAAAAGGAAAAATTCCAGCTGGGGAGATGAGGCTTCCAGAGTGTTGGTAACATTCTGTTCCTTGATCTGTTGCTTACATTGATGTGTTCTGTTTGTGAAAATAGTGAGCTATACATTAATTATGTATGCTTTTATCCATATATTTTATACCTCAATAAATGTTTTCAAAGGAAATATTCCATTCAAAAAATTAATTTGTCCTATAAATTTTAATTCAATTTTATTTTTTAAGTAAGTTTATTTTGGAGAGAGAGCAAGCAAGCACATGTGCAAGCAAAGGAGGGGCAGAGACAGGGAGAGAGAGAATCCCAAGCAGGCTCTGTGCTCTCCACATAGAGCTCAACGCAGGGCTCAATCTCACTAACCATGAGATCATGACCCGAGCAGAAACCAAGAGTCAGATGCTTAACTGCCTGAGTCACCCAGGCATCCCTAAATTTTAATTTTAATATGACAAACTAATTATCTATCTTTCGTTTGAATCTGCATCCCGAGTTAATAGGGAGTGCAGAGATCATGAAGTTTAACTCCCTCCTAACAACACTCTTATGTATATGCACAGGGCAGGTTAAATAGCAATACACTTGAAATGGTGGTAAGAACCTGGCAAATGTCCTTCACTGACAACAGAAAAATCACCATTTTGCAATCTCCATAGTAAGAAGTGATTCAGGACGAGAATCATTAATGCTGAAATCAGTTATTAAAAGATTAATGGTAAACAGGAAATTTGAATTTTTCTCCCCATAGATTAGTACTTACAAAGGGAGGGGGTATCTCTACAGTGGAGCACTGGGTTATCAGAGATAACATTACCAGTAATAGAACAAAATAAACAATGTTTCCTCCTAACGTGTGATGCACTGGTAAAGGATACAACCTCACCATTCCTGCCAAAAAGCCGATCCTGAATCTAAAATATATGAAAAGATTAAAAAAAAAAAAAAAACCCAAACTGAGACATTCTACAAATAATTCTATAATTTCCTTCGTCTTCAAAAAGGTCAAGATCATGACAAACAAAGGCTAAGGACTTATTCCAGATAAAGGAGATTAAAGCAATCTGTCAACACAATGAGAGATTCTGGATTGGATTCTGAATTGGGGGAAAAATTCTACAAAGGACATTATTTGGGCAATTGACAAAATCTGAATATAAACTATATTATATTAGTGATAAATTTTTGGAAATTGGTAGTTATATTGTGATTATGTAAGAAGATATCCTTGTTCTTAAGGGATACATACTGAAATACTTAGAAGTACCACTTTCTAGAAGTTACTCCCAAATAGTTCTACAAAAAATATTAAGGAACATTACTATATAAAAGGATACACCAGATGTGGCAAAATGTTAATGACTACTGAATCTAAGTGAAGGACATACAAGTTTTCATTGCACTATAACTGAAACTTCCCTGTAGGTTAGAAATTTCTCAAAATAAAATGAAAGACAAATGGTATGTAGAAGGTATTCCTCTCTAGTGCCTGACCCATAGTAGTCTAACCTCTTTCCAGGTAACTCCAATCATGTGAACTCCCTACACCTTAAAGTGCAACCCAAGCCATTATTACAATACACAGGACCCAAAGATGAACCCCTGGCACTCCATCAACTGGACCAACAACTGGCTCTGTTCTAGCACAAATAAGATTACAATATAACACTTCTTTAGATGCTTGAGTAAAATTTTGTTGTGACCACTGAGATCTGTGCTTCTGGGGTGAAACTCTTCCTGTCTCTAGTGCCCTACCCCATGATGTGGTTTCTGTTCTACCTATAGTCTTGGGGGGCTACTAGATGCACTCCCTGAAGTCTGAGCCACTTAAGGCGCTATCCACAAATTATATCTGGCTAAGGTGATCTCATCAGAGCAGAGTCAAATAACTTTCTCCTTCCATTTCCCAGGATAGCACCTTATTAGCTGACAAACTATACGTCAATGGAGCCCTTGTCCTTAGTGCATTTGAGTTTTGGGGAGGTAGAACATGTCTTCATGATTGGCCCCACTAAATGTCAACTTGTCAGGCGAGCCTCAGTTCCAGGTTCTCATTTTGTTACAATTAAAATAACAGAACAAGGGCACCTGGCTGCTCAGTTGGTAGAGCATGTGACTATTGATCTCAGGGTCATGAGTTTGAGCCCCATGTTGGGTGTACAGATTACTTTAAAAATAAATTTAAAAAAGGATAGGATATGGTCAAGGATAGGACACCTCAGCCTCCCAGTTAGATCATAATATATTAAAGGGCAGGGATCACATCTAATATGTGCAATCTCCCAAAAAAATCACATAAGACAGAGCTTTAGAGAAGATGTTTAGTTGATATGCCTGTTCATTTTAAATCAAAGGGTTTTATTTTTAAGGCAAGAGTTAAGACAGTGACCTAAAGATGTCTGACAAAACTTAAAACTTAAGCAGATTTGTCAAATTTGCCATAATATTGTATGATCAAATCTTCAAAAAAATTAAAAGTAGAAAGGTAGTAGACATGAGAAGGAGTATGGTTGATAGGCTGACATTATTTTCTAACTAGAAAACAAGAGAAAATTTTAGTTTTCAAGGACAACTGGAAAATAGAAAAAAGATACTGGTTTTTACATAGCTAAACATACTAATAATTAAGAAATACCCTTTAAATACTGAATTATCTTACCTTTCCCTGAATTGCAAAACAAAGAAACACAGGATATGTGCTTTCTACTACAGAGTAGAAATTAAGAAATCTTCTCTTCTCTAGCATAGAAATACTACCAAAAAATAGTTATAGTAAAGCCCTGGCCACTCAGGATAATCTTAATGCATGAGAGTTTCCCAATGTAAGAATCAAAATATGTTTGTTTTATTCTATTTTAGAGAAATTGCTCTGAGTTATTGCAGACTTGTATCTTCTTTAACATAATTTAATATCTGGAGTTTCTAACGACGATGCTGATCCTTCAGGAAATTACTGTCAGCCGTTGTGCTACAATGCAGTCCTCAGGACAATGGAGCAGGCCAGCATCAAACGACTCCCACCAGCTGCACCTCTCACAGCTTCACTGTCCTCCACTTCTGTATCCTTTGTTATGATGTTTCTGCAGCCTACCAGCCACATTCTTCATGTCTCTCACTTTCTACTTTCCATTCTGTTGCAGATTTGATCATACAACATTATGGCAAGTTTTACCAACCTGTTTAAGTTTTAAAGCTGTGAGGAAAACTCAAATAATTTTGTGTCTAATCAGGGACTCCAAGATTGCATTCTCTTTAAAGCATAAGCGCAGTGCAGTCTATTCTGGCATCCCAGAAGCTATTTCTACTTATAGTCTGAACCTTGGCTATCATTAAAGTCATTACTGTTTAAGATCCATAATATTTACCTTCAAGCATGTTCCTGATTTCTTTGTCATAAGTGACTTCTTTTGCAGTCTGTCCACTCCCATTAACAACAGCAGTATCTGCATTATATTCTAAAAGAAGCATTACCAGCTCCTAAAAAAGCAGAAAAATTGTTTTTAGTTATTAAACTAAGACTTTATTATAACCCTTTTCCAAATTAGTAATTACTACCAAGTTTCTATAATAGAAACAAGAACCATAGGAATCTGTGTATTACATCAGTTGTATCTACAATAAGTGAATACTAAGTACAGTAAGTTGAATAGAGCCAACTCTTGAATGACACAGGTTTGAACAGGGCAGGTCCCCTTACATGCAGATTTAAAAAATAAATACAGCACATTACTGTAAATATATTTTCTCTTCCTTACATTTTCTTAGTAATATTTTTTCTCTAGCTTACTTTTTTCTAAGAATAGAGTCTATAGTACATATAACATACAAAATATGTGTTGATTAATGTTTATGTTATTAGTAGGGCTTCCAGTCAGCAGTGGGCTATTAGAAGTTTTGGGGGAGTCAAAGGTACATGTAAATTTTCAGTTGTGCAGGGCTCAGTGCCCCATCCTGTGTTGTTCAAAAGGTCAACCGTACAATTTAGCTAACTGTAATAACTGATGATTACCCAGACAATTGCCAATCCACAATTAACACAAACTTCTATAATTGATTTTTAAATAAATTATCGGATTGTTTTAACAAACTGATTCACGTGATTAAACCAAATGTATAAGTTAGCAAAGCCATTACTGAAATTGCAGCAGATAAAACATTCATTTAACGTTATTCCTACAACACCTGTTGAAAAAAAATTTCCCCAACAGACCTAGATTAAAAAAAAAAAAATGTGAGATGTATAATACATAGACCCTCATCTTCTAAAGTGATACAGACTGGGGCACCTGGCTGTAGGCAGTAGGTATGGGCACCTGACACTAGGTACAACATGTGACTCTTAAAGTGATACAGACTGATAGGATACACTGCCAAAGGCATGGTTTGTAATGAAGCAAACACTCTCCTAAAATAAATATTCAACAATGAATAATTAACTATATCATTCATATTTACTCTAAGCAGTTAACTGCTCTGACAAATTTCAGACTAATCAGCAATGTATAGAAGTCCAGCATCACTGGTTCAGTTCAGTTATACAACTTAACAGGGCAGCAGAAATGAAAAAGAATGCAGATTTGCAGGAGAATGCTAGAGATCTGATGTTCAATGTTAGTACCCAGGGGTACTGGTGGATGTGGTAACACTAGGGCAGGATGAAATACAATGCTATTATAACTGCCAGGTTGATCGCATGCACAGATACATATGAAAGAATATCTTGTGTCATCACGTGTTAGGTTTTCCCATGAGTTACATTTTTCCTTTGGACCAAAAAACTTCCCATGTACTTTCCAAAAAAAAAAAAAAAAAATTTTTTTTTAACTAAGAAATGCTTAAATACAACCTAAAAAACACAGTAAGTAGAAAACAAAATACTCATTGTCCTAGTCTATGACCACTATAAACATTCTGGTGTATTTCTTTCTAATCCTTTTTCCTATGCATGAGTCAGAGTTTTTTTTAAACACAACTTTTATATTAAAGTTGCTTATGTTATAATTCCTTTCACCTAATATATCATGTATTTTCCAGAATATTACATAGTATCTATATAATGATCTAAAAGACTTTTCACAGCTGAATATTATTCTAGAAAATATATTATGACATTTAAAATAGAAAAATGGTTAATATTTTAATAAAGTGAATTCTAATAAAATTTTAGAATTTCCTGTCACCTTAAAGACAGCATTTTGGGAGAAGTGTTTTCATATGACTAAAGAAAGTAAAACAACCCACAGAATGACAGAAAATATTTACAAATCATGTATCAGATAAGAGACTTATATCCAGAATAAAGAACTTTAACTCAATAAAAAGATAAATAACTTACTTTAAAAATGGGCAAAGACAAAATGAACAATCAGAAAACAAAACTAAGCAAAACTTTTTAATTCCATTTACAATAGCATCAAAGGAAATAAAATACTTAGCAATAAACTCAATCATGGAGGCAAAAGACTTGTACAGCAAAACTTTAAAACATGGCTGAAAGAAATTAAAAATGACAAAAAGGGAAGACATCTAATGTTCACAGATAGTTAGGCTTAAGACTTAATAAGATGTGAATACCACCCAAAGCAATTTATAGAGTCACTGGAATACCTATAAAATCCCAAGGATGCTTTTCCCAAAAAATAGAAAATCCCACCCTACAAATCATATGGAATCTCAATGGACCCTGAACAAATAGTACTGGGGAAAAAAAGTAAGAGATCTCACACTGCCTGATTTCAAAATTTACCTTAAAGCTACAGTAATCAAAACTGTGGTAATGGCATAAAGACAGACCTATAGACCAATGGAAGAGGATAGAGAGTCCAGAAATAAACTTTCACATATATGCTCAAATGATCTCCAACAAGGGTGCCAAGACCATTCTAAGGGGAAAATTCCAACAAACAGTGGGAAAACTGGATACCCACATGGAGAACAAAACAAACAAAATGGAGTTGGATCTGTACCCTACACCATACACAAAAACTAAATCAAAATGGATCAAAGACCTAAGTGTGAGATCTAAAACAATAAAGATCTTAGAAGGACACCTAGCAGAAAAACTCCAAGACGCTGGATATAGCAATGAATTTTGGCTATGACACACAAAGCACAGGCAAAAAGGAAACTGGACCACATCAAAATTTAAAACTTTGAACATCAAAGGGCATATCAAGAGAGTGAAAAGGCAATCCAGAGAATAGGAGAAAATACTTGCAAATCATGTGTCTGATAAAGTTATATCCAGAATATGTAAGTAACTCCTAAAACTCAACAAAAACCCCCAAACAATCCAACTTAAAAATGGGCAAAAAATGTGAAAAAGCTACAAGCTATATGATTCCAACTACACACTACTCTGGAAAGAGCAAAACTATGGAGACAGTAAAATTATCAGTAGTTGCCCAGGGCTGGACTAGGGAGAGGAATAAATAGGCAGAGCGCAGAGACAGTGAAAATACTCTGTATGATGCTATAATGGTAGATACATATTATTATACCTTTGCCCTAACCCAAAGAACATAGAAGATTGAACCCTAAAATAAACTATGGACTGAGGGGGGGAGGGGGGGTTTCTGATAGGTCAATACAGGTTCAGCAATTGTAACAAATGGACCACTCTGGTGGAAAATGATAATGGGGGAGGCTATGCATGAGTGGAGACAGGGCACATGTAACAAATCTCTATCTTACTCCATGAATTTTGCTGTGAACCTGAAGGTGCTCAAATTTAAGACCTCAAAATAAAAATATATATATATTTTAAATAAACGGGCACAGGACTACAACCGACTGTTCTCCAAAGAATGGCTGAGAAGTACACAAATAGATGCTGAACATTTGCGTTACAGACATGGAAATCAAAAACAAATGAGGTAATATTTGACAACCATTATAATGCCTAAAATTAAGAAGAATGACAAGTGTTGGCGAGGATGTGGAGAAACTGGAACCTTCATACAATGCTAGTGGGAATGTAAAATGGTGCAGATGCTTTGGTAAACAGTTGGACAGCTCTGCAAAATACTAAACATAAAGATGCTATAGGATGCAGCAATTCCACTTCTTAGGAACACACCCAAGAGAAATGAACTGAATAAAATCTTACACATAAATGTTCAGAGCAGCATTATTCATAACACCTGAAAAGTGAAAACAACCCAAATGCCCATCAGTTGATAAATGGATAAATAAAATGTCCACACAATGGAACATTATTTGTCAAGAAAAAAGAATGAAGTACTAACATATGCCATGTCATGGATGAACCATGAAAATATTAAACTAAAAGAAGCCAGTCACAGAAGACCACGTATTACACGATTCCATTTATATTAGATTCCAGAACAGGCAAATCCATAGAGATAGATGAGTAATTGCCTGGGGAGAAGGGGAAGAGGGAACAGGGAGTTAGAGGAGTATATGGCTTCTTTTTGGAGTGATGAAAATGTTCTAAAACTGTTGACGGTCTGTTAACATAGTTGAGTCACTGAATTGTGTACTTTAGATGGCTGAATTGTTCAGTGTATGAAACAGATCGCAAAATTGCTTAAAAAATGATTAGAGTTATTCAAGCCTGGTACCACATTGGCACATTTGAGTTAAGGAATGTTATTTCTCAACCTATTTAATAGCTCACCTACTTGCCTTATACCATTTTTGCAACTGCACAGAGTTCAAGTGATTAGCCTGATATGATCTTTAGGAAGGCTATAACAATTAATGTGGAACTTGAATGATCTAAATCCCCAAAGGGACAGACTATGGAGAATGGGCAGAGGAAATGGGATGAGCAAAGGTACAGAGAAATACCTCTGTTAAGATAAAAGAGTGTGCTTCAATAATGAGGAAAAGGGCATAGGGAGCAAACAGGGCAATGTGCAGTTGCTATATGCAATTATAGGGAGCTCAGGTTGTCTGAAAGGTAAAGGGATACGTGTGGAAGGTTTCAGAAGAATCGTATCAGATTACAAGTTGGAAAAATCAGTGGACCGCTGTGTGAAAAAGATTTAGAGCAAAAGTTCCCAGAATTTGCTTCCACAGCAGGATCAGTGTCCCCTATGAAATCTACAGAAATGCAAGTTCTCAGGCCCCATCTCAGACCCAATGAATCAGAAATGATGGGGATGGGGCCCCCAGCAACCTGTCTTTTAAGAAGCCCTCCAGGTGAGGAATATAAGCGCTCAGGCAGGAGCAGTATCAGAAAAGGTTGTTGTTCACGGAATCATAATTTGAAAAAAGAAGGCACCTTAAGAGACTAGTGGTTGGACTTCTAATCCAGGGACATGAATTAGACTACCTACCTGACATGTAGGTCAGTGCCTATTTTTAATGCCTCAGTGAGTAGAAGAGGTTTTAATTTTCTTTAAGAGTCTGTTGCAGGATCATTGTTCCTATGTTCAGAATAAAGTAAGCCTAACTGTGTTTCTCTATGCCAAAATTAAAGACCATCCTGCCTTCTTAACCACTTTGCCCAG